TTTCTTCCAAATATCGTGTGGTAGTTTATATAGTAGCTACATCTTTTTATATCAGCCTAATCAAGAAGACTTTATCGACCAATTTCCTATTAGCTATGTTTTGCGCAATCACAACATCGCTATTTAAAACGTCTTTATAGCATAAACAACTATATATATATATATATATATAAGGCTGTTCCTGACTGGAACGTTTAGAAATTCCGCGCGTGAGATTTTGAAAATTTAATAGTATTGTAAATATAGAAAGTTGTTTGTGTGATGTTACTCTGAGTGTATATCCACACCGGGATGGCTTGAAAAATATGCCTGGCCACGGCGGGATTCGAACCTACGACCTTTGGAATACTAGCCCAATGCTCTTCCAACTGAGCTACGCGGTCAGGACGGTTCGAGTATGCGATATTTCGGAACTGAGTCTAGTTCCTTCGATATCAGTGTAATCTAATAATCATCCATCCCGGTGTGGATATACACTCAGAGTAACATCACACAAACATCTTATTCACCTGAGTACATTACACCAACACAGCAGATTTAATGATTATTAGATTACACTGATATCGAAGGAACTAGACTCGGTTCCGAAATATCGCATACTCGAACCGTCCTGACCGCGTAGCTCAGTTGGAAGAGCATTGGGCTAGTATTCCAAAGGTCGTAGGTTCGAATCCCGCCGTGGCCAGGCATATTTTTCAAGCCATCCCGGTGTGGATATACACTCAGAGTAACATCACACAAACATCTTATTCACCTGAGTACATTACACCAACACAGCAGATTTAATGATTATTAGATTACACTGATATCGAAGGAACTAGACTCAGTTCCGAAATATCGCATACTCGAACTGTCCTGACCGCGTAGCTCAATTGGAAGAGCATTGGGCTAGTATTCCAAAGGTCGTAGGTTCGAATCCCGCCGTGGCCAGGCATATTTTTCAAGCCATCCCGGTGTGGATATACACTCAGAGTAACATCACACAAACATCTTATTCACCTGAGTAGATTACACCAACACAGCAATATAGAAAGTGTTAAAATTGCGCGGTCGATATCTCCGCCGCGCGATACAGACATTCCACACTGGACTGGCTGTTTTCCCCTATTTATTTTGGGAAATGCAAAAATAGCTTGGAACACCTTAATATACACA